AAATTCATCAGAGTTCAGAGCAAAGAACCTTGCCCTTGTGAAGCTTACATTTAGACAAAGCCAGCTGCATACTTTGAAGGACTCCTTGTTAAAAATTTAAAAAAAATTAAGGGTCAGTGTTGTGGCATAGCAGGTAAATCTGACACCCGTGATGCCGGCTTCCCGTATGGGTGCCCGTTCAGGACCCGGCTGCTCCACTTCTGATCCAGTTCCCTGCTAATGTGCCTGGGAAGGCAGCGGAAGATGACACAAGTGCTTGGACCCCTGCCACCCACATGGGAGACCCAGAAGAAGCTCCTGGCTCCTGGTTTCAGCCTGGCCCAGTCCCAGCCATTCAGCCATTTAGGGAGTGAACCCATGGATGGAAGATCTCTTGCTCTCTCTTTTCCTCTCTCTCTCTGTGTAACTCGGACTTTCAAATAAATAAATCTTCAAAATAAATAGATTAATTTGTGGGAAAAAAATACTAAAACTTGAAAATCATGACAGCAAAGCATTAAACGAAGCAAAAGGGCCTTCGAAGGGAAGGCCCTTGGATGACTGCATGGGTTGTATCCACAGAGCTGGCTGTGATCCGGCCACCAGCAGAAATAACAGCTATGCACAAAGATTACACAGCAGGTCAGAGGAGGGAAGTGCTATGGACGGGAAACGGGTAGAGTGAGTAGAAGAACAAAGTTCCAATTTTGGATAAGGTGGTCAGGGTAGGATTCACTGAAGAATAAGATTTGAGAAGACTTTGAGTAAAGCATGGGAGTCAGCAATGAGTGGATTGGAAAACAGCATTCCAGGCAGGACACACGCTGCAGCAAAGCCGCCCAGGCTGGAAGTATGGCTGGAAGGGAAGAGGGAGTGGGATCACAGAGGGCTTCAAAGCCCCGTGTAAGGACTCTACCACTGACTCAGCATTTTGGGTGAATCTCATGGCTGCAGAGAGAAGAATCTGTAGGTAGGGATGCATGGGGCCAAGGGCTGATCTAACAGTAGCGCCCGCTACTGCAGACAGGAGCAGAGAAAATGGGACTGAATGAGACCTTTTTAAAGATTTTATTATTTATTTGAAAAGCAGAGTTACACAGAGAGTGAATCTTCCATCTGCTGGTTCACTCTCCAAATGGCTGCAAAAGCCAGAGCTGGGCCAACCCATAGCCAGGAGCCAGGAACTCCTTCTGTGTCTCCCACAAGGAAATAGGGGCCCAAGCACTTGGACCATCTTCCACTGTTTTCCCAGGTGCACTAGCAGGAAGCTGGATCAGAACTGGAGCAGCTGGGTCTCAAACTGACGCCCTATGGAATGCCGATGCAGCAGGTGGCAGCTTTACCTACTATGCCACAATGCCAGCCCCTGAATGAGGCTTTGAGATTTTATTTTAATGTATGTGTATGCATGTGTGTGTGTGTATAAAATCTTAACACTGAAAAATATCCACAATATATAAGATAAAGGAAGATTTCATAAAATATCAAGTACTTAAGATTTTTTTTCATAAAAACAAAACCATGTGCACTTGATTTCCTACAAAAGTCCATGAAAAATGCAGGATGAGAAAACTGCATGGATTTCAAAAATTTTTGCACCAAAAAAAACTTACCTTTTAATTCCATTTCCCATAAATTATTGAAGTACACACAAGGAGAAAAAGATTAGAAATGTCATGAGCCATACCCAGTGGTTCATTAACTATGAATATATCATAAAAAAAAAGTCATGACCCCAGTTGTTAGTAGTGGTCATTCTGAGCAGTGAGAATGGGAAGTAGAAGGGGAAAGATGTCACGTTTTATGTTGAACTGTCCTGCAGTGCTTTAATATTTTCTTACAAGTGTGCATTGGTTTTGTAATAAATAAATTAAAAAACACTTCTCTTTAGAAGAGGGCTCCTTTTTTACCACTGAAATGTGAATGTCTGACAAAGAGTGGATTACTTACATAGGCTCTGTACTTGAAGATGTGGTCAACCTAAAAAAATGTAAAAAGAAGATTTCAAGTTTTAAAAGCAGGATCTGAAAAAAAAAGGGGGGGGTGGAATAGGCTGGGTCTTTGAAACTGGGAGTAGACCAAGTTGAGTAGTCAGTGGTCAACCTTATGGAAGAGGAGAAACTGGGTACAAAGTGTTTGGTATATATTAAGATACAGTGCAGTAGGGGGTTTAGGTTGGAAAGAAGATGAAGTCTCTTAATGAGTGGGTGGCAAACATGGGCCTGCAACCTTCTCAGCCATGGCAACTCATGTGTGATGAGGACAAGCTATCATGCTAAGGGGGGCTGCCTGGACTAGCAACCCTGCCCACCTGGATTCACTGCTGGCTCCTCCCATCTGCTCTCAGTCCTGCTGAAGTCATCCTTCTCCAAGTTAAACTTGAGCTGGTCTCCATCCTCCTCCCCAACACACACAGCTCACTCTTCAAGAGCCTCCTGTTATTCTGAAATCTGGAGTTCAGAACAAGGCTTAGCCCATCCCTTTCTGGTGTCACCGTTCCATTGTGGACCAGTTTCTTCCCATCTGGCCTTTATCTTAGCCTGAACTTGGCTCTTTTTACCAACTAACTTCTTCACTTCCTTCTGGCCTCAGTTCAGTGGTAACCTTCAGCAATCTGGCTAAATCCCCTACTAATTACTAACAGAGCGCATGGTGCCTCTCCGTTCAGTGGTTTAACCTGTGTCTCTGCCCTCTCCAAACCAGGCACCAGCTATTCCAGCCCAACCATATACCCAGCAGAGTTGGTCTTTAATAAACTTAGAGAATGAGGAACAGAGTATCAAGCCTTGCCTATTACACACCCAGGAGTTAGCTGCCTTTCTTAGCTATTTTCACTTCAATTTTATGATCTCATCAGCTCAAAGAGGATTTATTGAGGGATAAACATGAAAATGTTCACAAAAAATGGAATTAAAGGTTAAGTTTTGGTACAAATTTTTTCAAAATCATGCCTAATTTTTCCTAGGATGCATTTTCCATGAATCTTTTGAATTCCTTCTTATACTTAGGACAGTGCTTATTGGAGTGGTAATTATGAGTTGCATGAGTTACAGGCTGTGTAGACCAGGCTTTTGTTTTTTTTGAGACATGTCAATAAAGACTTTTCCATTGGGTGTGCAGTTACTGTAGTAAAAGGTAGCAGTTAAATGAGTACATGAATATTTATGGTATAATGCAAAGGTTAATAGCATCTTGTCTAAACTCTTGTACTTTCAAGGAGACCTTGTGCTTTGGACCTAGCACACCTAATGTCGGCACTAATGAAATAAAGCCACACTCCCCTTGACCCTGACAGTGATAGCAATGGATAAAGACAGGAAAACTGGTAAAGAACGCTTCACAGAAAGTCTCCTGAAGAAAAAAAAATCCTCAGTAATTGTGTTTTGAGTTAGAAAAGGTTCAGCCTTCTCACTTCCCTTCTAACAAGCCAGTAATAATTTATGTCCCAACGTGTTCTATAGCACAGTAGAGTGGCCATAGGTCACAACAACTTATTATAGATTTTATGAAGAATTGAGAGGAGTTAAAACTTTACAACACAAAAGCATGATAAATGTTTAAGGATGGGGACATGGTAATTACCCGGATTGATCATGACACGATGTATACATGAACCACCTTATCACACTGTACCCCCTAAATATGCAGTTATGTATCCAAAAGAAGTACTTGGGTAATACTGTGCTGAACAATTGAAATTCTGATAGTGTTGCCTCACTATCAGAAAAACCACCCAGAGGAATCTGAAAGGGCTCTTCGAGATTGATGCAGATCATCACAGGTGATCTCAGACTGCCTGCTAGGAAAATCACAGCTCTGAGGCCCAGCACATCTTTTTAGTGTGGCTAAAGACCTTGTACACCTCTAAGAGCTTCACACTCAGCTTCAACTACCGGTGAAGCCAAGGACCATTTCTAGATGCTACTTTTAACAAAGACATTCTAGGGAAATGAGCAGTGTCCATAACAATCATGTTGGTGACAAAGTAGAGCAAATAGATGGTTTTAAGGAAAGACCACTGTTCAGCACCACACCCTTTTCAACGCCCAGGAATTGGGTTGTATAGAAAACTCCCATCACCATATCGTGCAAAGGAACAACCCAAAACCTCTGAGAAGGAAATCAGAAAGTCGCTCAGCACTATGTGATCAATCTAGATGCCTCTTAAGTCATCCACTAAGGGACTAACATTCCCATTGAAGCAAATTCAGAGTATATCTAACTCCACATACGTACCTACTTCCAAAAGATATGCTTCCAACTGTGCCAACTTTCACATCACAGCATTTTTGCTTTCATCTAAAACAATGGTAAGCAGCATTATACTTGTTATGTAGCCATGAGCCATACCATTCATCAACTTTGTGATTGAAACTAAAGGCTTTCTTCCCCATTTTCACAGTGAGAAATGCTCTTCTTCAGCTTTATAGGAAAATAAACTAAGATAGCAAAAAGACTAGGGTACCCGTCACTGTGCAGAAAATCAACAATAAAAATTGTTAATGTCATTTTCTGTGGACCCTTCTAATTGTCAGAGGTATTCTAAGTACTGTGCATTCATTCTTGTCAACTCTAGGTGTATGCTTCTTTACTGATTAAAAATAAGAATAATAATGAAACCCTGAGGCTTAAAGAGGTAAAGCAATCTGCCCAAGAATCACACAGGGAATGATAAAATTCCTGGCCAGGCAGGATTTGCTGTATTACCAGGGTACTATGCTATCCCATGCTGCTCAAACTTTCATGAGCATACAAATTAGCTGAAGATTCTGTTAAATGTATATTCTGATTCAGTAGGTCTGGAGTGGAGTGTGAGATTCTGAATTTCTCACAAGCTCCCCAAGCATGAGGAGGAAACTGGTCCACTGACCATACCTTAATGAACAAGGCACTGTATGGCAGCTCCTTCTCTTTCAATGGAATGGTCTTTCATTGACTTTGAGTCAGAAGCCCTCAACTGAGAACTTGACCCTAATTTGAGACAACACGGAGACAAGAAAGATACCAATCCAGAAGCAATAGTGGTTATGGAATGCATACATTTCCATGTATTTTTACAGTAAAAATGCATTAAAAAATCTTTCACAAAAGAAACTTAAAAAATACAAGTAGAGTGGTGAGTCCTCCCCCCAACATTCTTTCAGGCATCCACTGTGTAATGGAAGGAGAGGAACTCCTAAATGGTTTGACTGAATCATACAAAATATTCATCCATCATCTTGCATCAAGACATTGACATGAAGTGGGGGGATTAGGGAAAGTAGGCTCACAAGAATCGGTTTTCAATTCAAGGTTACAGTAGTTCAAAGAAACTCATATCTTTCTGCTGAATGCAAAGTCCCTGTACAGTACAGTATTTCCAAAGCAAATCTGGTGTGTGGAATTCAGGTGAAATCATCACATCAAATGCCCACGGACTCAGACAAGCCCAGGTGGGTAGGACATAAATTTTGAAGATGTCAAATGTCATCTCTTACAAGAACAAAGACATCATGATGTTAACTTCAGGATGGACTCCAAAAATTCACCTTGATTTCATTTAGTTAAAACTCTGGACCACAATTGAGAGCATCAGTCATTTAACATCACAGATTTTGCGAGAACCAGTAAAAAATCCTAGCAGTGGAGCCTTCGGGATAAAATCTCCAAAGCTGGCTCTGAGGAAATTGATGAAAAAGAACATCATCATTCAGTTGTACTCTTAGCCTTATCACTGCAGTCAATATATGCTTTGTACAGAAAACTCTGATAATAAAAATAGCCTTCATAGACTTTCCCTCGTTAGCTACAGAACACACGTTTCATCTGTTCCAGGAACCTGTTTTTTTACATGTCCACACAGCTATAGCTACTCATTCTAATGTTGTGTATAAACCCATAAGTCAAATAAAGCTATGAACAATGTAGTATTTATATATGCATAGTGTTTTATAAAAAGATTGGCCCCCATACTGCTTTTCATCAATACAGAAAGAGCATTAAGTCCATAGCACACTGCAAGAAATAAATGAGTGAACAGAGAATGCAAACAAGTGCTTAATAATTCACAAGCAGGCTCACCATGGAGAAAGTGATGATATTCAAACCAACTAAAGCTTTAGAGAATTACTTATATAGTCTCCAGGTTTAAAACAACTTTACATACCTGATTTAGTTTACATTAAAATATACCCCATGAATCAATTTGTTCCATATTCAGAAATATAAACACATATCACATTCCTCACAGCTAAATTTTTGTCATAAATTCTCTTTTGTACAAGAAAAGAAGGCAACAGTTGTTTTTTTTTTTCAACAGGCTCTATTAAATACAATTTTAAAGTCTGTACACACTATGATTGGCTGGTTTTCTCTTTTTATGTCTATTTTTTTTTTTTTACAGTACCATGGGAACAACAGTGATTGACTTGCAAAGTTTTGTGTTTGTACGGAAAATGCAGAACAGTACTACAGAAATACACAACGCACTGTAAGCAGCGGTTTGCTGTAGTGGTCCAACAGGTACAAGCAAACGTTTTGGCTCAGCTAGGCAGTAATCCACTCAAACCACATCCTGGTGCTACCGCCGACCCAACCCTACCTCCCACGGGATTGAAAAAAAGAATGGAACTTTTCTGAAAGAAGGAATGTTATGTTTTGTTCTGCTGTCCAAAGACTCAAAGGACAGGGTCCTGAAGGCAGCCGTTCCCCAGACTGATCTAGAACACTGGGATCACCTTCTTCCTCCCCCTGCCATCAACCTAGAGGCTTGGATTGCGGTTTCCACGTGCGATGGGCATTTCTGAGAATGCACCCCCAACCCTCACTTCTTTAAGTATCAACAGAGAGGTCCCTTCCACCAGGGCTCATTCCCTCCTCCCCAGTTTTGGGCAAGGCAGCCATGGGCTTCTCCCTCATGTGGGGGCATGTTGTCCCCCACTCCATCTGACAAACACAGCCTCAAATCTGGCAACACAGAAGGTGTCTGTCCTTTCTAGGAGGTGAGCAAAGCCACGAGGGCACTGCCCGAAGTGAGACCTTACTAGATGTTGGAGATGCCAATGAACCTGACCCGTGCTCGGGCTGCATTTGGGTAATGGCGGCCAACCTTTGCTTCTCTGTGCTTTCTTGGACCAGGAAGGGTAACCACTGTTTTTTTGAACCAACCAGAATTCAAGAACATAAAATTCCCTTGAGCTGTGTCTTGTAGCTATAAATATCCTTCATTTGCCATAGTAGTCTCCTCATACTGTTCGCTTTATTTTAGGATCATTGGCAATCCTAATTCATCCCCAAGGGTCCTCAGCTTTCACAAATAAAACTTTGCCTTTTTGTTCTCCGCTCTGAAGAAAAACTCCTGACTATAGTATAGCCCTACATCACTACATAACAGTCGATATCAAATTAATGACACTTAATAATTTCCCTTAGAGAAAACGACCAACAGCCCCATTTAACCAGGAGAGAAAAAAGGCAGCCCTCCCAAAAGGGATTAATTCTTGATCGTTCTACAGTGCACGTAGAGACAAAAATCTATATCCCTTTGGGCCAGAATTTGGCAAATAATTTCCAAAAGAAAAAAAAAAGGTATGCATTTAAAAATATTTTCTTTAATTTTATACATCAGGCACAACACTTTTCATATATATTTTTTTTTCTTAAAAGATTTCAAACGCATAAAATGTCCATCGCTCTTCACAGGATCCACAGGGGCCGGATGCTTCCCTTAGGTAAGACACTGAATGATTTCAGGTTCGTGACCTGCCTCGTAGAACCTTTGACACGGTAAAGGTTGGAACGGGATCCAGAGCCTCAGATACTGAGGTCGGTGCTACATTCTTTGTAGGGTCGCCTCCTCTGCTCCGGGGGATGTCTGGAACTCTTCCCGCTCGCCTCCTCCCTCTCCCGGGGGCCGACTCTGTCCTCCCTGCTCCTCCTGTCCAGCGACCGCTCGCGCCTGCGCTCGGGGGAGCGCGCCCGCCGCCGGTCGGTGGACTTGGCTCTCCTCTCGGGCGAGCCCGCCCTCCTGCGCTCCGGAGACCGCCTCTGGTCCAAGAGCCTCTCCAGAGACCTCCTCCGACGGCTGGGGGAGCTGTCCCTGCCGCGGCCCGGGGAGCGCTCCCGCCGGCGCTCCGGAGACCCGTCTCGTCGCTTCTCGCGCCTCTCCAGGGTGTTGTCGGCGCTGCGGGTGCCTTCCCTGCGCTTCTCCGGGGGTCTCCTCTTGGGGCCGTTGGCCGCCGAGCGCTCTGGCTGCGCGTCTCTCCGGCCGTCGGCGGCGGCCCGGTCCTTGGGTCGGCAAGCCCCGCCGTCGGGTTTTCTAGAAGTTCCGTTCCAGGTGTGGTGCTCGCTGGGCTGTCTGCTGCCATACTCTCTGATGCCTTTTGCGTCTCTCGCGTGGGCCCGCCTTTCCCCATGGGGTGATGATTTGTGAAGATCGGGTGGGTAACTGGACTCCAATGACGGATGCGGCCGGCGGTCGGGCGGCGCGGCCCTCACTTGCGGAACCCCTTGTGCACCGGAGGGGGCGCCGTTCCGGTCGCCGCCGGGGTCTGCGAGCAAGACAAAGGAGAGGCATGGTTTGGTACAGGGACCTTCAGCGCCTGTCCCCACGCCCACCCACGCCTGACTCATTAGTCACAGCCAACAGACAACTGTTAAAGCGGTCAGACTGGAAGCCGCTAACCCTCGGTTAATGGATGGATGACTGCATCTAGCTAGGGTTACTAACTAGTACTGGGGGCCTTGGCTTGACTCAGGACAGAGATCAGTAAAGGATGCAGGAAATCGGTCATGATTTTGTTCTTTCCACAGGCGCAGCCCGGATTGTCTGGACTGCCAGACATCAGGACTGCCCCACCTCCATTAACCCTTGCTCTTCTGCACTCCTCCCCCACCCTTTCTCTTCTGCCCCTCAACCCTCCTCCACCCCTCTGGAAGGGATATTCTTTCCTTAATAGAATACTTGTTCGATTTGCTTAGAATAACCTGGCATATTGACCTGGAGGGGCAGGATGGAAGCTTCCTGGGGGATGGAAAAAGGATACCTCTTCTCTGGGTGGCGGGGCAGACACATTGCACAGTCTGCCTGGAACTGTGCATTTTACTGGCTGCGGCGCATGCTTCCGTTTTAAAAAAAGGACCCGGTGTGGCGGCAACACCTGGGCCACACTGACAAGTGGCACATGTGACAGGCACACGAGGGCCGCTCAACTATGCTGCTTCTGTGTCTGTCACTCTCCTTTTGTGTACATTTAAAAATAAGGAACTTTTTTATTGAAATGTGGACTTTCTGGAGAAAAAGGGAGGAGATGAGGTCGTTAGCTACACATCTGAAATTCCATGAGGCTCAGATAAAAAACCCTTCAGGTTTCCAGGTCCTTTTTCTCTGTGACATACAAAGCAGCCAAAATGAGTTCTAGGAGCTGTGGAGTCACTGGACTGCTTCTTACAACACTAAGATATCTTAAAAGCAGGGAGGCCCATGACAGCCCGTACTGATGATTATTAAACTATCAGAAACAACCCTGCAAATGTTTCCGGTGGTTTCCTGAGTTTAAGAGAAGCAGGGACGCTCTGTTATAACAGAAGCTAGCAAGTCAAACTGAGTGAAACCATTCCAGGCCAGACTTGCTGTGCCAGCCTGAGACTGTGAGACAAAGCAATCCCTGGGGCTCTTTAAGGATCTCCCATGAGGCTACAAGGTCAAGAGTAAGCAATTAATCTGCTTCAGGAATGATCTCTGAAAACCCAGGGTGCATGTTCACCAAAGCTGGAATACAGCCTAGGACAAGGTCAGCAGGTTTTTCTCATGGGCCGGATGGTAAACATTCTGGGCTTTTCAATGCCAGTCATTCAACTCTGTTAACTGTGGTGCAAAAAACCGAGGCCGCACATAAAACAAACAAGTGCAGCTACGAGCCAAGAAAAATCTGTTTACAAAAATAGGCTGTGCATAGGACTGGGCTCGCGGGCTGTAGTGGGCCAAGCGAGAGCTGGACCCCCAGGAAATCTCACCTAGCGCTAGCTACCAGCAAGCCCTACTACCTGGTTTGAGGACTCTGTGTTCACGTAAGGTTCATTCTTTCTAAATGCTGGGTGGACGACTAGAACAAAAACACAGACAGGTTCTGGACAAAAACCACAGATCTGGGTGAGGGAAGGTGCCTCCTTCGCTATCCTAAATCTAAGGTGGGATTCTTCTGTCTACTTGTAAGACAAGGCATAGCAAGACTTCCACAGGGTCAGCGGTGTACTTACAATTCCAAGAACGCGGGGTGCTCAGAATGAATTGCCAAACATATCAAAATAGAGCTAAGCAGAAGCAATGAGGAAATTAGGCCACAGCACAGAAACACCTAGTATTGATTGAGCTACAAACCGTAGTTTGATTATGGCCCATAAGGTAGAAGCAAGCCTCCCCGAGCTTTTCATTTCTCATACATGCAGCGATATTAGGAGGTATCATCGCTGTAGGAGGAGGGCCCAGCACCAAGAACAGTCAGAGAGAAAGAGAAAGAGAGAAAGAGAAGAAGTTGAACATTTAGATTCCCTATAACAAAAAGGAAAGAACAAAAAAAATCTGCATTTGTTAACATAGGGCAAAGAGAGTTTATTTGTCCAGTCAGACAGTCTAAGGCAACACTCAAATAAGGCTGCAGAGACCGCAATTGGGGACAGTGACATTTTTACACAGCCATCAGGTGACTCGAGTACCCGGACAGTAGATGCATCCTTTTTTTGTTTTGTTTTGAAACAACTGGAACAATGACAGGCTGGCATAGGAGAGCATTAACAATAAACAACCAAAGAACAAAGGCCCCTCGGTCCCTCCCCTCCCCTTCCTCCCCCCACCCCAAGACCGCGGCAGTTAAATTAAGTACAAAAAACTCATTACAAAAATAGCCTCACAGAGAAGCAGGTTCCAATCATGTCAGAAAAATATTGGAACTTAACATATTATAACCCATTTGCGACTCTAATCGATAGAATTAGAGAGATTTCAGTCCAAATGACGCATGGAGACATTACAGCAGCACAACCCTGGCAAGTTCGACCCTTCTTGGAAAACCGTGTATTTAAACGATCTTTATTTTTAGCCCAAAGAACATTTGTTAGTGTTGGATTTTCATCCTCAGTGCAACAGACATAGGTTTTGAGAAGGTACACAGGTTACTGACGATGACTCTCAAATGAAATATCACATCCAACAGAAGCGTAGGAGACAGAAAAGGGACACAGTGTTACACAGTTTCAGTGGCATCAATACACCAGACGGTCAGAAGTTTAGTACAGTGCACAGCCATGGCATCTTCACGTTGTCAAAAATACTTCTGGGGCTGGCCATATGTATCTAAAGGGGTCTTGTCTGATACTCACCACACTCCACCCCCCACCACCTGGGACCCCCTGTATTTTGCACCTGTACAAATAAATGTCCAACATGTGGGGAGCTGCATCTGAAGGAAGGGTCTCCTCCAGTCCCAAATGCAGCGGGAATTGTGCAGAAGGACTTCCAGCCAAGAGGGGGATCACAGATAAATCCCTAATAAAGGGGACCAATGTATATGGGGACCATTCAATCACAGTTTCTATAGAAACTTTTGTAGACCTTTGGTTGGGAAAAAAAAGCCCTACATCTAGGGCATAGCTTCCTTTTAGTAAATTTAAACAAGCATTTCAAATAAATAGGACATGATTATTACAATATACAATATTTTGCCCTCAGGATACTAAGCTATATCATTGCTGTCTACTCAAATCATGTCTAAAGATATGACAAAGGAAGAACTCTACGTACAACCTGGCTTTCCTCATAGGAAAGGTATAGTGACATGTTTCCCTCATGACAAGCACTGGGAATTGATTTCATCCTTTATCATTTAGGAACATATGGCTAAATGTATCAACAGTTTTTGTGTTTGACAGGAGTGGGCTCCAGTGGTCTTACTGGGGGGTAAGGGACCAGCAAGGGGGATGGAGAATCATTGTAGACAGAGCAGAAGGGAGATGGGCAGAGCACCCAACTCAGCTCAGTATTTCACGCCTCTTACGACATCAAGGAACCAAAAATAAAAATAAAAAAAAAATTGTGCCTCAACATACCACTCGGGAAACCTGCTTTCCTGCTTCGTCAAAGGAGGATAGTCATTTTGTGCTAACAATTGGAGCTGAGAAACAGTTTGGCACAGTTCAAACAAACATTCCTTGGCTCTTGGTCGGACTAGACAAAATGTTCTCTCTGATTATCAGAAACGGGGCTCTACGGATCTTGTCTTAGGCCATGCCCCAGTCCACAGAAGCAAGCAAAAGGATGACATGTGTGTAGATTTCAGAACAAGCGAGGCAAATAATCACATGGTGCGAGAGGCTGGTAAGACACTGGTGAACAGGGGGAAACAAAAAAGCCTTTCCTGCTGCCGTTCTGGAGACAAATTCATGGAGTCATGCCAGGGAAGGAAGGAAGGTTTTCATAGTTTGACCCACCATATTCTGGTACCGAGCCGTCTCCCCGCTTCAGAAACAGGCGAACTCTGCGGCCACCATTCTTAATCAGTTCTATCGCCCGAGAATGCTTCATGTTTTTGGTGGTCTCGCCATTGATCTCTAAAATTTCATCACCGATCTGCCAAGCGAGAGAGAACAAAGTGACAAAGCTGCAGGAGGTTTCTACCGGCTATTCAGGGACTTCATGAGTTCAACTTTTTTTTTTAAGATTTATTTATTTATTTGAAGGTCAAAGTTACAGAGAGAGAGGGGAGGAAGGGAGGCAGAGAGAGAGAGAGAGAGAGGTCCTCCATCTGCTGGTTTACTCCCCAACTAGCCGCAATGGCTGGAGCTGCGCCGATCCAAAGCCAGGAGTCAAGAGCTTCCTCCGGGTCTCCCACGTGGGTACAGGGGCCCAAGGACTTGGGCCATCTTCTACTGCTTTTCCAGGCCACAGTAGAGAGCTGGATTGGAGGAGGAGCAGCTGGGACTCAAACCAGTGCCTATATGGGATGCTGGCACTGCAGGTAGCGGCCCCATCCACTACACCACAGCGCCGGCCTTGAGTTCAACTATTTTAAATAAGTTTTTTTTTTTTTTTTTTTTTTGAAAGGTGGAGTAATAGAGAGGAGAGGGACAGAGCAAGAATCCCTCCCTCCATCCACCAGTTCTCTTTCCAAATGGCTGCAGTGGCTAGGGCTGGGTCAGGCCGAAGCAAGGAGCCAAGAACCGTAACGGGGTCTTCCACATGGATGGCAGGGACACAAGTACTTGGGCCATCTTCTACTGCCAACTATCAAACTAGCAGAAAGCTGGATCAGGAGCACAAAGTAGCCAGGACTTGAATCAACAGTCCAAGGGGGGATGTAGACGTCCCAAGCAGTAGCTCACCACGAAGCCTGCTCCTAAACGTCTTTCACTTTTATTAAACATACATCAGACAATTTTCTATTGCTAGGCTGTAACGGTAAAAAACCAACCAACCAACCAACGCTTGCCCAGGTGACATTCTAATATGGAAAGACAATTAAGAATTGTCTATTGAGGCAAAAACAGTTGTGCTACAGAATGTGAAATGTTAAAGAAAAAATGCAAAGCAGTAAGGGGAACGTTAGCTCCTGAGGGAAAGAGGTTGCAGTAAGCTGCTGTAGGGCGGCTCCACTGATCCTGGCCTCCCGGCTGCTCACATTGTGAGCCATGTCCTGCCTCTGAATGTGAACCAGATCTAGTGACTTGCTTCTACTAACTGGAATATGGCAAACATGACGTCAGTTCAAACAGCCCTGGATCCCATCTCCCTTGTCTCTGAATGACGTTCTGAGTCACCCTGTGGAGTGCCATAGTAAAATAATGGGAGGCTGCAGCCACCAGCCCAAAAGGCACTAAATCCTGCTGACAACCATGTGAGTGACCTTAGAAACACCCGTTCCTCTGATGGCCTTCTCGACAGACCCGGGTCTGGGATGCCTCACTTCAAACAGCATTTACTATGTGTCAGTCCCTTCTGTAGGCACTGGAAATGAGGGGGAACCAAGAAAGGCCCGATCGCGGCTCGCATGGCCCTTATTTAAGGAAAAGGGAAAAGCACTGGCTTTGGGGGCTAAATCCTTGAATTGGAATCCTACCACTTGTCAGTAAAGTCATCTTGTGCAAGTCCTTTAACTTCCTGGAGTCCGTATCCTCACTTGCAGAAGAGCTTGTAACACCCGCGTCTACCAAACTGCAATGATTGGGCCCAGCGCTGTGGTGTAGCAGGTAAAGCTATCACCTGCAGTGCTGCCATCCCGTATGGGCACTGGTTCGTGTCTCGGCTGTTCCACTTCCGATCCAGCTCTCTGCTATAGCCTGGGAAAGCGGTGGAGGATGGCCCAGGTGCTTGGGCCCCTGCACCCATGTGGGAGACCTGGAGGAGGCTTCTGGCTCCTGGCTTTGGAATGGCATAGCTCCGGCCATTGCGGCCATCTGGGGAATGAACCAGCAGATGGGAGACCTCTCCCTCTCTCTCCCTCTCTCTCCCTCTCTCTCTCTCTCTCTCTGCCTCTCCTCTCTCTGTGTAACTCTTTCAAATAAATCTAAAAAAAACTGCAATGATCCAACTGAACAACACACATAAATGTGATGTGTGAACTCTATGTCTTTATGGAAAATACCATGACAATCATATTTCATTCAATCTGAAACTTCAAAAAAAACTATTACAAGCCAAGGAGACAGGTTCAGAGCAAGAGATGACACTGTCTTTTAGCTCAGTTATATCAGATGCCTGAAAGGACAAAGTTACACATTTTCTGAGACCTCTCCTACATGGGGAACCTGACAAGACTGAATGGAAGTAAGCAAAGCTGAGTGGCTTCACACTGGAAGACATATTCATTCAAAATGATGACGGATAAGACTAATGACTGAATGGGACTCTAATTATGTGGAATTGTCTTCAGCTGTATGTCTTTTTGATGTAAGGGAACCATGTTCTAAGACAGGGTGAACAGTGACACTGTGAAAAATCAATTCGGTCTTCATCTAGTTTCCCGCCCTGCAACTCCTAGAATCCTTGGCATCTTCAAAGTTCCAGTGTCTTTCTGAATGCTAATGTGCCAAGCCCCTGGGTGGCTTCAGGACATGGTTTAGAACTCTCAGTCCCGGTCGGCGCCGCGGCTCACTAGGCTAATCCTCCGCCTAGCGGCGCCGGCACACCAGGTTCTAGTCCCGGTTGGGGCGCCGGCAGCCCTCTGCTGTGGCCAGGGAGTGCAGTGGAGGATGGCCCAGGTGCTTGGGCCCTGCACCCCATGGGAGACCAGGAAAAGCACCTGGCTCCTGCCATTGGATCAGCGCGGTGCATCGGCTGCAGCGTGCCGGCCGCGGCGGCCATTGGAGGGTGAACCAACGGCAAAAGGAAGACCTTTCTCTCTGTCTCTCTCTCTCACTGTCCACTCTGCCTGTCAAAAAAAAAAAAAAAAAAAAACAAACAAAAACAAAACAAAACAAAAAAAACCTCTCAGTCCCACATCCAACCTCCAGGGAGAGGTGAGGGGCTAAAGGCTAAGTTGATCACCAATGGCCAATCATTTAATTAATCATTTCTAAACAATGAAGCCTTCAAAAGTAAACTAAGAAGGACAGGGTTACAGAGAGTGTCTGCAGAGTTGCACATGTGAAGTTTCTCGGCATTTGGGTCAATGGATAATTTGCCACTTGAGATGCTCGCCTCCCATACAGCAGAGCCTGGTTTGAGTCCTGCCTACTCCTCTTCTGATCCAGCTTTCTGGAAGTCTGCATCCTGAGAAGCAGCAGGAGAGGGCTCAAGCACTTGAGTGTTTGACACCAATGTGGGAGACCTGGATTGAGTCACGCATTCCTAGCTTTGGACTGGCCCAGTCCTGGCTAATGTGGGCATTTGGTAAGTGCACCAGCAAACGGGAGATCTCTTTTCAACTCACACACACACTCTCTCTCTGCCTCAATGCCTTTCAAATAAAATGAAAATAAATAAACATTAAAAAAATTTCAGTCTGGTGCTGGTGCTGTGGCATAGCATTCCATATGGATGTTGGTTCAAGTCCCGGCTGCTCATTCCAATCCAGCTCCCTGCTAATGTGCCTGGGAAAGCAGCAGAAGATGGCCCAAGTCCTTGGCCCCCATACCCTCAAAGACGACCCATAGGAAGAAGCTCCTGGCTTCTGGCTTCAGATTGGCCCAGCTCTGGCTCTTGTGGACACTTGGGGAGTGAACCAACGGATGGAAGATTTCTCCACCTACCCCCATCTCTCGCTCTTTCTTTCTCTCTCTGTAATTCTGACTTTCAAATAAATAAATAAATCTTTAAAAGCAAAAAAAATCAGTCTGAAGAAGCTTAAAAATTAAAATTGCACCTGAAGTACAAGTACAGCATTAAGCATTCACAATTACTCAGTATTTTTTCTCTTGGGGCACTAATTTTATTCACTTGGGTCCCTCCTGACCTAGCTGTCTTGATTCCTTTTAGTTGGTCGCCAATGGCTTCCACGTGTAGGTGACTTACCTATAATGAGTATATAATTCATCTTCTCCCAATCATCTCATCTGCCCAGGAGACTGACACACTCATCCACAGTAACATGTATCAGACAGAGCACAGTAACTTTTGGCATTTGTGTAATTAAAATTTGCAGCTTTGATTACTTCCAAGCAACCCTGAATATTAACACCATGGAGTCACTGGCCCTGTGCTAAGAGCCAACTCATTCTCTCTCAGGCTAGACTGAGGCAGCTGGAAGAAAACGGAGCTCCTGGTCCAGAATATTCTAGGCCATGTGGCTTCCCGCTCTGTGAGCATCCTGGGATATCCAGGAATTGTGAAACGCCTGCCTCATGGGAGTACGCACAGGGACTATGGAAATGGGATTCAGAACATATCGACTTTAATATGTTTTAAGTTGTTTGGATCCTTCGTTTAATCCCAAAGAGTTTAAAGGAATCACTGAACGTCAGGAGCTGCAACTATGTTTTAGGGAGAAATACAGGACATGGTGGCAGTTAAGAATCTTGAAAGCTGCAGAAAATAATTCCCATGACTGTAAGCCTTGTGGCCATGTTTGTCCACAGGTCCCTGCAGGTGATCTGTTGACATCGACTCCAGACTCCAACCCCTACTTACCCTCATCTTGCCACACCTTTCAGCAGGACCGTCCTCTGCTAAGCGCAGAACATACAGGTCCATGTTATACTCCCGGCCCCCTCGAAGACTAAAGCCAAACCCTTTGGCTCCTCTTTCCAGTTCCACAGTGTAAAAATCTTGCTCCTGTTTAAAGAAATTAAATTCAGTCATTCTGGGAGAACACCCACATCTCTTCCAAAGCATTCCCTATTACGTTGACTTGGTAAAAAGGTATAATCTCTGTTCCCTCCATGGTGCTTCTTAATTGCCTATTAATCTTAGTCATTCATCTCAGAAGGTGGAGAGCAAGAATTTGAAAACATGAGCATGCCTACACGGACACATGGATTCATTACAACACATATGTATTAAGATGTAATCATTGGGGGTGCTATATGCATTTGGGGCAGGAAGACTCCAAGGCATGGTAAAGTCTCACTGGCTGCAGGAAGTTCAATGCCCCTGACCCATACCAGATAAAGGCGAGCAGTGCCCATGTAGATACCAACTACCTCTACACATATAGGGAGGAGTTCCTGTATTGGTAAAAGAGAATGGCAGACAGATCACTGAACGCTCCCAGGGTAGCTAGCAAAACAGGAACCTGTTGAACTTTACATCACCCCATGCTTCTCAATTTTGTTCCACCTGCTCTTACACGCACACTCTTATTTTAGGGTGTTGCGTGAAATTCACAAGCCTGAGAAACCCCTTATCAGAAAGACATTTTCTTGGCAGAAATACATTTATGAAAAGCATGAGTAGATATTAGCAGTTTTACTCTTGCTTTGATTGTCAATCCTTGGAGTGGCTCTTCATTTTGTAATTTTTTTTCCCTCAAAAAGGATATTTAGGAATGTTTTTCAAAGCTAGTAAAATAAACATTTCCTAGACAACGAAATGAGAGCATGTATTTAGTAACTCACCTCCCCAGAGGTTATTTACTTTACATTAAGGACACCTTTTACAAAACAACTTGTAAAAACACCTTCAGGAAGTTAGAAGGAAATGTGCTAAGTATGCAGAGATAAAAAGGGAGACAGCTCTCACCTGTGTTGCCTGGGGTGCTTTGAACTCAAACTGAGATTCCTGCTTTGGTTTGGTGGTATTCCTGCTGAGGAGAGAGAAATGGATGGGGAAAACTGAGAGCAAGGCAAGGGCATGGTTGGTCACGCTGGGGACCACATCTCCCCTTTCAACCAGAAGGAAACCAAAGCCACAGCTGACCTTGTCTCCTGGGCCCCTTGCTGGGAAGGGGTGTGCGTGGTGGTGATGGTGGCGATCTTCTCCGCGTTGGTCAGCAAGGTGGCATTTGACGACTCTGCAGGGACAGCGAGAACACACAGCAATGAAGACCCTGAATTAGACCTGGCCCAACTGGGAGGCGTGCAGAAGCCCTGCATCGGAACAGCAAGTCTGACTTCCCTAGCCCCATGTCAAATGACTGGACTCCAATTTCTAAACCGTCAGGAGCTTAAAACATGAACCATTCTAAATGTGGTGTGCTGGGCTGTGTATACTTCAAGGATCCCAACCAGACTTCGCCCAAAATGAAATGAAGTGTTTGCTAAATAAAGAATACGCTGCTGCTTTAAGATCATGGCCAAGGTAGGTGTCTCTCCCTCCTCCCTTGCCACTGAAAATTGGCAGCCCCATCAAAACACTACACCACCCTAGACTTATTTTCCAGAATTCCTCTGCTAATGTTTCCTGCAATTTATCAGCAGCATTTAGTGAGTCTGCTGGATGTCCTCATGCAGATATTCAGATCGGAAGTGTGCTAACGTCTTGTTAAGCACACACACAATATCCACTTTCTTCCCTGCTACTTTTAATGAAGCACAGATGAAAATATGGAACTCCTGACAGATCTCATCTAATATCACTCATGAAAGATTAATTTTAAAACTCGCATTCGTTAGAACCACAGTTTGTAAATACCAGCTGTATAAATCATAAAGCCACCTTCAAGTAATGAATAGGATTAGATTCCTATGTAAATGGACTTTCTTTTCCACTAATCACAGTCCTAAGCAACGTCATTAATCTCTACAAGCTTGGCGGTACAGAATCTGAAAACCCTCGCGAGTGTAACTACAGACGGCATCCCAATAGAAAAGACAGAACAAGTGTCTCTGTGCGTCTGTGCTTTACTCTGCCCAAATGCCTTGTGACCCTCCAAGGAGGGGAGGCAGTGCTTAGCACTGGGACACAGTGGAGCATAACGGTTATGAGGTCAGATTCTGGAGTCAGTCTGTCTGACTTTGTGCCCTAGGTCCTTGCAATTTACTGTCTGGGACTTCAGCAAAGTGATTTGAACTTTTGCAGCCTCAGCTATCTCCACAGTACCTGGGGGACAACAGAATTATCAAAACACACTGATGCAAAGATTACCAAGAGGAATATGGTTGGGATAGTGCGTGGCACACAAAAACTGCTCAAAACATGACCGGCACATATTTGGTAGCTTGTCCTGATGATTGTGATCATAACATTACAAGCACAATATAAGTACGCTTTTGTGACTGCTGTCTTAACAAAATTCTTTCCTGAGCCTTGGAAGGGGTATCACTCCCAGTTAAGGGGCAGCTAGCCAGCAGGACCCAAATGATGATCCTGGGTGATATTTCATAGAGCCTGCCTGCCCACCCTGTCAGGAATCAGACCGAGGGCACAACATGTCAATGTGACTCTCCAGAACTCTGATTCACACGGGGATTAGACTTTTAACAAACTTCACTGTAACTATGCTATGGACTCTCTGGACAAGACTCTATGGACAAGATCATTTGGGTCATGGAGAAATCAGAGTAAGTCAAAAAGAATGTTTCCTTATGAAGCCATCATAATGAGTGGACAGTGCAATGGTTTTCCTTTTAAAGTTCTCGTGTCTTGCTGGCAGCCAGTTTCTAGTCACATCAGATCCCATTCTTGAAAATTACTCTGTTTCTGCTGATTCATGATTTGATGAGATAAAAAACAAATTCCTTTACTCATTTTCCTTCTATTGCTCGTTTGCTCCTTATTCCATTTATAGTGACATGAAATTTTTTTCTGGGTTGAAGCTTAACTTTGAGTATTTTTAAAATGAACATTTCCTATGCAAATATCTGAAGTTGCTGAATTGTCCTCATTTTGTTATTTTTATCTAAACAGCTACCATTTTTTGATCATTTTATAATGATCAGTGCCAAACAAGCCCTGTCCAAAGTTCATTATCATATATATTGCTTCATTTCAGGTACAATTATGGCTCCACTCCACAGGTAGAGACACTGAGGCATAGAAAGACAGATAACAGGCCGAAGGTCACCCAAGAACAAGTAGAATTAGTCCCAGGGCCTGTCTGACAGCTAACTTTTATTCTGTGTACCTGGGAATTCTGTATAAGCAATATTTCTTTTCCAACAGATAGATAGCCCCAAGGTCACTAAGCAGTATCGAAGATTGATTAAAATACAAACTACCCCTCTCTGACTGCTAGATGGGCATTCTTCAGAGCACCAAAATAATATCCAGCATACCTTAAATGTCAAAGATGCTTTTATAACATCAGTAAAATTCTAAGTATTTTTAACGAACCTAAAATCTTCACTTGGAATTAAACCATCCTGCTTTTCGATGCTCTTTAGCTTTGAAAATACAGAGACACAACCCAGTATCAAAGAGTTCTATCCCAAAGCAGATTTTGCCCTGTATCACAGAACAAACAACAAAGAATGGCCTGAAACAAGAGGATGAATCTCCCTGCCCCCCAGCAGCACAGTCCATTAGGAAGGGTGTCAATATGTTTGACTTTTAAAACCCCGAGGCAAGATGGACAGATTGGATATTTTCATGACAAATTCCAGAAGGTACCCTCTGTCCTTTATGAAGCAACTGTACAACTTTACACCTACTGCAGCTCTCCCACAGGCATGGAAATGTGTATCCAACTTTCCCTAGTAGTCAGGTGTCAAGAGAGCACATCCTTGGCTCGCAGGGCACTGTCACCACCTGTTCTCAATCAGGGCCCTTGCTCTTGCGACAGGAGTTTCTGTCTTGAATTTCAGCCTGTCTCCCAGACAATTGATCACAATTCTAATTTTGTTCTCCTGCTGTATCCTTAGCCACTGCCCCCTCCTTAAAGAATCAACAACAAAAAGCCAAGCAAATCAACAAAGGATGTGATCATTCTTTTCATGTATATTTCAATGCACAAACATACATGTAATAAATATCTGAGGGAAAATTTGAATCCTATAAATATTTGAAGAGTTCTGGGAGAGTTTTTACCATTCTATGCGTTTGTCAAAGAAACAGCAATTGTTGCCAAGTTTCTCCTCCTATACAAGCAAACACTCTGAACCAGAATGTGCAAATTGAAGATTGCGACTTAAATAATACATTTTTAAGCTCATAAATATTTTAATTATCTTGAACTTGATTCAGCCTGATTGGTTCCATGTTAGCCTGGCTCACTCTGGTGCTGTTCTGATTTAAGACTCACCTCACCCAGCACACACAGGGCATTTCTATACAAAGTCGAGTGTGATCTGATATGGTCAATTTCAAGTTCAGATTCAGTCAGTTCCACTTGTCTCTGGGACTTTCTGTACTGCTATTATATTTTTTATATCCCTTGTCTGTACCTCATGGGAGAAAAGGTTCTGGCCACACCCTACCTCCCACCTTGGCCCCAAAGACAGTAAAAACAGAGGGGTGAGGACTCCCCTGAGCACGGCCTGTCCCAGATCTGCTGGAAGCTGGCCTTCTAACAGCACAATAACGCCAAGCAAATGGGAGCCATATTTTGGAGCTTTTGTTGAAGAGGCAAAAGAGAAACAGGAGAAGTAGAGTGAAGAAATCAAAGACCAACTTGAGTGAAGAAAAAAAAGAGGCAACGGTTGACAAGAAAAAAAAAAAAAAAGAATTAGGCAGCATGGACTAAAGAAGTGGATTCAGAGGAACATTTCCAAGCACTGCCCATGCAAGCAGGCACCTTCTTGAAGTGCTGCCTGGGGTTTCCAAGAGCAGTGCACCTGACACAGTGGAGTTCTAAGACCTCAGAAACCCGCCTAAGAACTTTAGCCTCCTTGTCGGTATCATGAAACAAATCATCTTCGAGTGACCTGATGAAGTAAATATTATAATCAATGTTTGAAAGGAAACAGGAAGTCCCTAATGCAGAGATCACCTCCCTCTCATCCTACAAGCAAACACATCCAACAAATCTTCAGAATGGAAGCGGATTCAGCAAGATTTTCCCTCCACCAATCTAACTCCTCTGCCTCGACTCCAATTTCCAAGATGGCAATTCTCAGCTCCTTTTAAAATATGTGCAACCCATGTCCACCCTTTGCCAGACCTGATTCCCTTTACCGGCCATCTGACAGTTATAAAGTGACTGGTGGAGAGTTTAATTTTCACAACAACCATCTCCTGAAAAAGTCTGAATGAGATCACAACCACAGCAGACCATGTGTTGCCTTAAAAAAAAAAATCACTCCTTCACTTTATTACACCTACTTCATGTTCACTTTGTCCTAACCAAGGCAGCACATGAGATGCCTACCTGAATTTTATATTTTTAAGTACTAGAGGTTAAAAAAATATGCCCCTGTTTTCCAACTGGTGTTCAAGTTTTCATAAATATTTTCCATCATACCTGATTAAGTCAAATGTAATGTGTGTGTGTGCGCGTGTGCACGTGTGCGCGCACGAGCGCTTCAGTATAAGCTGCTTTTGCATATTCATGTCTCTCCCGATTTCAAGCTCCTGACTAGAACAGACCCAGTTCTTCTGACTTTGTTTTTGAAGTCTCTCCATGGCACATAGAAAAAATGTATCTAAATTTACAGAGTAAATGTGGCGCTCTCAACCAGTTCTTGCTTTATTTTTCTGATTTCCTTCATTTGTTCCATTAGGAATCTATAGTCTCTCATCTTGCAATTGCTTCTGTACAGGGTAATAACTTTCCGGAGTGGTGAGTTGGTGGAAGGGCCCCAGAACACACCATAAGTTCCTACCCACAAATTAGCAGGAGGAGGGAGAAGCAGACCACCATTCAAGAATATGCATTTTCCCTTCACCACTGGTGTGATATTTTTGACAAAGTTTTTTGTTCTTGAAATCAACAACTTTCAAATATTTATTCTGAAAGTAAATTCCTGGAAAGTCCTGATTAGACCACTCAATTTTGAACTATAAGGCTCATTTTCTTAAAACTAATATACAAAATTATTCATTTGCTGAATAACTTTCACTGATCTTCTCCTTCTACAGATCCTCAGCATAGACTTTTTATCACAGTATCCATATAAACCACATTTTCCTCTTGAGGAAATCATACTTTGAGAATTTTATTTTATAATATCTATAGCAAGAATGAAAAAAAGTGAACACTTTGGGACGAGTATTACTTTTCTCCCGAGGACAAAGTCATCTTAATATGAAGGTCAACATTCAGGGCTTAATTCTTCAAGGAATCAATACTTATAGCTTCATTTTTATTAGATTTGAATAAGAGGATGAATATTGCTATTTTGTGCTGCATAACATTTCTATGGGAAAAGATGTGGTCTGACCAACTGGATGTTATTGGCACCCACTGCAGATGAAGCCAAATGTTCCCTGGGAGGTAGAATTCCACAAATGCAAAAGAACCACAAGTCTGAATTAACCACTCAAGCAAAAGAGCACCTACCTGGATTAACAGACAAAATGTATTGAAAATATATATATTTAATTCTTTCTCTATACATTTGGAACAAATCAAGTAGGCATAAACCCTAAGACGCTCCTATTAAATACAAACTATTATAATTCATTCATTCAGAAAAAAGAAAAAAAAACATAATATTGGCTCTGCCTTGCCATTAACTAGGTTTTGTGATGTCATCATATTATATAGCTCAATTTTAGCTTATTGTTTAAAAAAATCCATATCTGATTTCTAGAGAGAACATCAAGTGATATTTCCTACCTGCACTGAAACTATTCTATTGAACATCAAAACCAAAATAAATGGGAGAGAGCTGAAGAATTTATGCAACTTTGGCATCCGCAGTAAGTAAGGGTCATGGGACTAGAGGATTAATTAAATAAGAAGGTGAGCTATAGTTTAGTAACAATGGTTCATGTTTGTTTGATGGGTATGTTTAGTGAGGAGTGGGTAGAGCTGCTTCTATGTCAACACTATCCAATTACATTAACACTAATGAGAGAGAGACCTGGAGAGACACACACACAAAGAGAAAGGGAAGAAGCGGGGGGGAGAGAGAGGGAGAGGGGGAGGGATAAAAGGTAGGCTTTAGTATACTTTACCATCCCCAGGAATGATGCGAAGGGTAACCGTGTTTCCTGCTTCCTTGATTAGGTTGACAATGTCTGAATGGGATTTGTTGGTGATGGAACATCCATTTACTGCCAAGATCCGGTCTCCTACTTTCAGCTTGCCACAGCGGTCAGCGGGGCTCCCCTCAATAATCCGACCTATTTTGTGAGGCATAGCCACACATGCATTGCCTGCTTTGATATCGAGTTTTAATTGTTTTTAAAGTTACGTGGGAATATAGTGAAGGGAGGAGAAAAAGGGTTGAAAAGGGAAAGAGAAGGTTAAGTGTTAATTAATTAAAGCATTAAGCAAATGTTATTCAAAGGAGAGCTCGGCGCCCATGGTCAGAACATTGGCGAACTCCTGGCTAATAAGGAGTGCGTCCCCGAAACCAGACATCACGGCTGCAGTCTTTCCTGATTCAACATGGACGGAAAACCCCAGCTTCTCTCTTCACAGCAATTACAAAATTTGGGAAATCTGGCAACTTCGGAAATTCTCTCAAGAGCCCCTAAATAACTCAGCGCCAGCTTATTTTGGGACTGCCAATGTGAAACCCAGAGGGAGGCTGGCTGCCTTCACTCATTGTGTGTTCCCATCACTTCATTTTTGCCAGCTGTTGTGCAAGCTTCTGCCAATGTTTAGTTCTTTTTCCCTTTAGAAAAACAATCCCTGGTTCTGTGGTGAGGCATGAGAGTCGGCTAGCACAGAAAATTCCATCTGCGAACACCTGATGGGCAAACACTGGCACTTGGTACCTTCTCTCCAAAGCTTTAGGCAAAGGGCATCATGACAACAGATGCACCAAGAGAACACCTAACGTTGAACCTCACTTTTCCTTTCAGGATCTTTGCTCAATCAGCCCATCCTGGGTGCTTCCAAGGTAGGGCTGGACTGGCTCTCATCACCTCTGAAATCTTGCTCCTGCCTCGCAAAGATAACCTTAAGGGAAGATGAAAATCAAGTACCTGATTCACAGTAAGGTTCGAATAATTCCCCAACCCTTTCCCTCTCATGATCGTCCTTTTCATCACCAGTTACCATATGCCCACATTAAGAAAAACCAGGAAAAGGGCATCTGAAGAGGAAGGCTGATTGTGTGAGCACTCTGAGGCACTCAATGCTATTGTTAACTTCTAGAGAGTGGTGGGCAACTGGCTCTGCAGCCTGGCGTTAAGTTTCTAGCTGACCATACACTGAGTTTGAAAGCTGTTCATGCAGGTTCACTTATTTTGAGAATTTGCCAATCTGGGGGACCATGAAATCAGTTACGCAGTTGAGCCACCTTTTGGAAAGGAAAATAAAATTAACATGGAAGAATAGAAGGTAAAACTAAGAATTCTGAAATAACTGAGAACATCACAGGGTTCAGGAGATCAATCAAATGATAGATCTGAAGAAATAAACTGATGATTTCTTCTCCCCTGCTCGCTTTCTCTTTCTTTTTAAAGCAAGCAGACAACTCTCCAAACTTCATTGAAAAACAAAACCAAAACCCTCCTAGCCATCAATGTCAGGTCATCCATCCACAACATGCTGCGATGACTTTATTAATGGAGTTCACAGAAGCACTGTTAGTAAGGGGATTTGTTACTGCAGCCACACATGCATACACCTGGCTGAGTCACTGTCCCCTACCCAAATAAAACTTAGGGACAAGACAGCTGTAGCAGGAAGCAATGTACCTTGGTTGCTTAATGGAGGTGAAGTTGAGTTCTAAGGGGTCAGATTTCTAAAGGGACAGAGGACCTTGCTGATATTAGCCCACAAGTGACCTAGGCCAACAGTCATCAGAGGCCATACTGGGACAGAGCTGTGGCAACTGTCAAAGTCCGTATGCCCTTCCCCTTCTACCATCAAATTCCAAGCCAATTAACAAATTAGCCTGGGAGATGACAGATGACTTTCTAACTAACAGGGAGGGTGAGTCATTTTTTGAAGTGTGCAGCCATAATTCGTGCTAGTGGGAAATGTGTTCACAGGTGACCAGCTTCCGGAATTATCTGGGCTCTTATGTGTCTTTGCTACTGCAACCAGCAGAGTATGAACCTTCTACTGGTAACACTGTTTCGCCACACTTGGCTGAAGTACCCAACATCCAGATGAGATAAGAAAATCAAACCACTCTGAAGTCAGATTTTTAACTATTCTTCATCAAGTAAAAGTAAACAGAGTATTTAAAATAAAAACAGATAGCAGGGTATCTCATGCAGCACTTTTACTTCTACTTTTCCTAGGCATTTTATAAGCATCTGAGTCTTTTATAAACTCTTAAGGCCTTCTGAGGCCATTGCTATTCATGCCATCACATCTAAGACCTTTCAAAAGTCTTCTTCCAGCAAAAATTTGGGTCTCCACTGACAAGGAGCTGCTGTTCAAATTCTATGCAAATCTCATGAATGTTTGGGGCTGTGTGTTGTGTGTGATCTTTCAGTAAAGTAGCTGAAAATAGTTTTTAAAAATGTTTCCAACCTTCAGAAGGCAAAAGAGCTACCAAACAAATTCCATCCCCAATTACGACTTTAATTACCCAAAGCGAAAAGCATTAAAGCATTTGTGCTAATCAGAGTTTGGCCGACTGACTTTCCCTTTGGAGAGAACACACCACCCCCCCCCACCCCCGCGTGGTAGGAAGCCCTGGGGGAAATCATCGTGAGCACTCACCGAAGGTCGTGCCTGCTTCGGGCCTGCTCACCGAGGACACGATGACGAAGCCGAAGCCCTCGTTCTCGCCTCGCCTGATCTCCACGTCGTAGGGCTGCACCACGGTGCTCACCACGCCGCTGCCCCCGCCCCCGCCGCTGCCGATGCCGCTGGTGCTGCCGCTGCCTGAGCTCACCGTGTTGAGCGAGTTCTGGCTGCCCTGCGGGGTGCGCTTCTCCTCCGTCAGCGAGGCGGGCTGGTTGCTACTGTGATGAGATGAGGCTGGCGAGGGCACCTCATTTTCTGTTTTGGGGACTGTTAGAGAGAGATGCGTGTCTCAGTCTACCTGGCATCCCCACGCGAAGGAAGGTGGCAACTGGCCTCACAGACCTGAGACGCAAGGGACTGAAAACAGGAGCTCCTGACAAATACTAACCTTTCAGTACCCACTGAGCCCCAGGAAACCCCAAAGACCAGTCCCAAATCATGTGTCCTTGAAAACATGCTAGGTGTCAACAGCCACACTGGGACTCCAGTCTGCGGCCACATCAGCTCTCAAGTTATTTCCACATGGCACAAAGGAAACTGGATACCAAAAGCAGGTGCGGGCTGCACCAACGCTAACCACCATCCTTGTCCGAGGCACAGCCACACCTGCTCAGGCATGTTGTCATCACCTCCAGTCTCCTTGGTGCTCAGCTTCCTCTTTTCCACCAAGCCAGGGTCCTTAAGCTGCCCGAGCCCTTGTGGATACCCTATGGGGGATCTGTGACACCTGTGAGGGGCGTACATGGCTTCTCTCCCTAGCCTCCAGATGTCAAGATCTACTCTGGATACCAAACAGGGTACCTCAGCCTCCTCCTGAATTCAGTTACCACCGCTGGCTTATCCTGCTAAAAAGCCAAAACATTAAACAGTAGCAACCTCACCAAAATCAAAATCTGTGTCATGTCCAGATTTGGGATAAAACTGTCTTTATTCCCCAATGCTGCTTTCATAGATTAAAAAAAAAATGAATGACGAGTTCTTTCACAATTTTTGTATTCATTTAGTTTTATTTGGAAGGTAGAGAGGAAGAGATCTTCTATCTGCTTGTTCAATCCACGAATGCCTGTAACATGTGGGGCCGGCCAGCCTGATGGCAGGAGCCTAGACTACTATCTGGGTCCTGCAAATGGGTGGCAGGCACCCAACCACTTAAGCCATCAGCTGCTTCCTCCCAAGAAGTGTATTCATAGGCAGCTGGAATTGGAGGCGGAGCCTAGCCTGAAACCAGGAACTTATGGTGGGATGCAGGTGTTCAAAGCAACAGCTTCACTGCTAGGCAAAACACCTGCCCTAGGTTGTTTTAATTAGATAAAACTATCGGTAAGGTTTACCATTTTAGCCAACTTGAAGTGCCCCCTTCAGTGGCGTAACTACATCCTTGCTTTGTCCAGCCTTTATCACTGTCACCCTCCAGGACTTTGTCCCCTTCTATGATTTCGCCACCTCACTGAAGTGGAGTTACACAGTACTTGTCCCTTTTATGAAAAGCTGATTTCATTTAACATATCCCCTCTTTATAGATTTAACATGCCTTTTACAGTATTAAAATACGAGGTATTGGGGGCCGGCGCTGTGGTGTAGTAGGCTAAGCCTCCACCTGCATCCCAAATGGGTAAGGTTCGTGTCTCAGCTACTTCACTTCTGATCCAGCTCTCTGCTCTGGCCTGGGAAGGCAGTGGAAGATCGTCCAAGTGCTTGGACGTGGGAGATCCGGAAGAAGCTCCTGGCTCCTGGCCTTGGATTGGCCCAACTCTGGCTGTTGGGGCCATTTGGGTAGTGAACCAGCAGATGGAAAACCTCTTTCTCTGTCTTTCCCTCTCTGTCTGTAACTCTACCTGTAAAATAAATAAATAAAATCTCAAAAAAAAAGTATTAAGGACTTGATTATACCTGTTGTTTAACAAGACAGATATATATGATAGGTATTTATCTCACTAATATCAACGCTGTGCAAAATCCATAATATTTTTTCATATTTCTGCAGTAATTCACAGATAGGACACTTCTCCTGCCTCTTCTGCAGTCTGGGGTCTGTCTGAAAGGAGTCTGGGTGGGGCTGCATATGAAGGCCCTTCAAAAAGTTCATGGGCCAATGAATTAGAAGATGAATTTATTCATATTGTGGTACAAAAGTCTCTGGAAATGCATGCTTTTTCATAATGCATTTTCCATAAACTTTTTGAGGGACCCTTCAAGATGAACAATCAAGGTGTGTGCTTCCAAGCAGCTGTAAGTCACCAAAAGGATGCTTGGTACAATTAGCTGTCTCAAATGGTAGACTCCGATAGGCAGTAAAGCATGAATCACAAGAAAGACAAAGAAGGAACGCTAACATCTGCAAGCAGCCGGAGGAAGGAGATTTTCTGAGGGAGGAAGGCTCTATTTGAGGTGATCCTAAAAGGGTCTGTAGTATTTTGAGAACTAGAGTTTGATGCTTGCAGGAAGGAGGTCTCCAGGAGACAGAAGGGCCCAGCTCCACAATCTGCTTGTACAGAAGGAAAAATCTTTCTTTAATAAATAGGACAGGCAACAACAGAGTATCGCTAACTTTTCATAAAGCCATTTTGCTGTACAAACCTAGGTTTTGTTCTCTTAAAGCTACAACTCATCTGACATTGATCATGACCTCGCTTATTGAGGATGATCATCGAATGAAGAGGGTGCTTATGTTCTGGTCAGCAAGGAGATGGGAGAGAGGTGACCTACGTTCTACCAGCCTTCTAGAATTCTGTGCTCAATAGATGCAAATGGCACGTTATTAAAAGTACTTAAGAACGACAGTCGTTTTGGTGGGGATGAGGGCAGCACACCGGCTGGACGTTCAGAGCTTGATCATATTTGCCAAGATGGACACTCAAGGCTGCAAACAAAACCAACAAACAATGTGCTCTTGGAAGGATTGAAAGAAAAACCTACCAGCAAACACCACCTTACGCCGCACCGTGAGATTGACATGGCCCTGCTTGGCAGCTTGTTGCATGAGCTGGACCACGAGCTGGTGTGATTTTCCAATGACCGGTGTTCCATCCACACAGATTAATTCATCTCCAGACCTCAGGCGGCCGTCAGTATCAGCAGCCCCCAGTGGTACGATGTGCCCGATATAAATCTGTGGAGTAATCAGATGATGGATGAAACACTGCCCTGGTGGTTTGCTACTGCACTGATGGCCTTGACATCCCCCGGAAAAATTCAATTCATGTACTCATGTCTGCATGCATGCCACAAACATATACCGAGCACGCACTGGGTACAAGGCATTGTGCCAGGTACTGCAACAATTTTTAAGTGGTGGCAAGAATAACTCTTTCTGGCTGGGATCCTGTGGTCTTCTCAGGACTCACGCTTTCTCGTAAATCATGTGACTTCCCTTCCTTTGTAAAACCTTTTCTCCTTTCCTATCTGCCTAAGAACTTCACTTTCATAAAATTCTGCTAAATCATCATATTAATACTACTTTCCTTAATAAAGTCCAACACCAAACCTTGAAGAAAATGTGGATCATGAAAAAGCTGTGCGTGGATTTTAATTTTTTTCCACATCAAAATAAACTTATCATTTTAATTTCATTTTCCCACAAACTTTAAAGTGTCCTTGTAAGTACTGTTGAGTGGATGGAGCCAAATCTGCTTTGACATCTCAAGTCTGTAGACTTGTAGCATCTGGAAGCAATGTGGACTTTATATTTAGTGACTGTCAAAGTCACCATTCACTAACCCTGGGCTATAATATTTGTGCCTGCCTTGCATTTCTAGTAGATGATGATGCTACAATTATTTTCTTATGGTCTTAACAGTTTGGTTTGGAAAGAAATGGGGATTAGTTCCCGGATGTGATGGAGAGAGGACAGAATGCATGTGTATACTAAACGCCTTTAGTACAGTTCCTGGCACACAGTAAGTGCTCAAGGAGTAATAGCTGTCATTATCAGGAGAGAATCAACAATCTAAGTACTTATCTTCAGTTGTCTTTGTTCTTTTCAAAAGAACCTTGTGGTCTTGGACTAAATTTATTCTAAAGCTGCAGAAACAGTGGTGCAGGGAGGCTGAAAGGTCTCCCGATCCCTGCTCAGGACTCCTTCTCCGCTTTGGAAAGACAGGGGTCTGGCTCTCTCTCATCTTCCATACGGCCCCATGGAGCTCTCTAGGCAGCAGCTACTCAACACTCCACGGCCACTTCCTGCTGGCAGATGGAGCAGGACTGACAAGAATCAGACCACTGTTTTATGAGTGATGCCTTTTTCTATTATTCTTTTGGTTTTCCTTTTCCTCACTGGGGGTCTCCAAACACTGTCACTGCACTTTTCATAAGCATTAACACACACTTTTTAAAAAAGGATCGGCTTCCACACAAGTCAGTGAAGAGCCCACACTGCCCCAGATGAAAGGCAGACTCAGTGTAGCATCGAGCTAGGCCCGCATCTTAGTGATCTGTCACTGCCACTGATCTGCTTTGAAGTCTTCGAAAACAGCTCTGGGGAGAGAAGCAGACAAAAGACTCACAGGTTCCCCTGGTTCATTTCCACCCAGAATCCGAAATCCAAATCCAGTTTCTTTTCTCCAGAGGAAGATGTCCTGTTCCTGGTAATCTGGAACTGCAGGGAGGGGAGAGGGCAGGAAGATTACTCGACTGATAGAAGGGGTTGCACCCGGAGCATGCACACAACGAGACAAGACAAGGATGGGGCTTGCGCAGATAGAAGCTTGCATCCCAGGTACAGAAACAAAATCACCTGGACAGGTGAAATCAGAGAAGACAAGGAGTGAAATAAAACCAAGAGGAAGTCTCACTGAGTGCTTAAATGCTTCAAAGGACTAAGCACTATTGGGTAATTCCTCGTCCACCCCAGGCCATTATCCCCAACGAAGCCAAAGTCAGCAGGAACTACCTTCCTCAGTACTGTTGCAAGGGGGAATTAAATGAATTAAAATCGTTATGTGCCCAACCCCACAAAGTGGGTGTCTCTGTCCAGGAAAAGACTTCACGCTAAGTCAGGGGCCCTCTGAAGCACTAGTGGGCTCTGAGGATGCCAAAGTCCCATTACGTCAACTGACATCTTAGCAACCAGAGGATGGAAGGCAACAGCTTGGGTTAAAAGGAGTTTGCAACTTATCTTTAAATCATTTTTTTCCTCCTTAAAATAAACAAGATCAGCAATGCTAATAAATTGATTTGGTAGCGTGTTTTTTTGCCAAAAAAATTTTTTTACTGTCAAACACTCTAAAATTTCCAGTTATCAAGTTTATGATGATTTCAATATAATTAGCAAAAAACAGCAAAACTTGCACATCATGTAAGCCCATGGTGATAATAATAAGAAGGTTCTCATTGTTAAAATAACAGCTTTACTCTAGGATTTGCCTATGTTATCTCAACATTATTAAGTATTGTTTATTATCCAGTAACTTGATTTTATTTTCAATACTCCCTAATGATCTAGGACTTGAAACTTCAAAAATCTTATATATTGGGAGACAAGTGGGGCCAGTGTTATCGTGCAGATTAAGCCACCACCTATAATCCCAGCATCCCATAGGAATGCCGAGTCCCAGGTGCTTCACTTCTGATCCAGCTCCCTGATAATGCACCTCAGAAAGCAGCTGAAGATAGTGCAAGGGCTTGGGCTCCTGCCACACATGTGAGAGACCCGGATGGAATTCCAGGCTCCTGGCTTAGCCAAGCTCAGCCTCTGCCATTGCAGCCATGTTGTCAGTGAGCCAGAGGATAGAAGTGCTCGCTCGCTCTCTAACTTTGCCTTTCAAATTAATAAAATAAATCTTAAAAACAGAGAAGTAATTTCCAGGAGGAAATGTTTATTGTATAAGAAACTATTGTATATACTAGTCTGTTCCTTCACTAAGATAATAAAAAGGGTTATTTCTGTTTAATTCCCATTTAATATTTTAATATATGCATATAGTGTTTTATGACCTATAAAGTGACAAAGTTTGTATTTGAAGAGAATATAAATGAGTTGCAATTACATTAGAATGAACTGCAACCTAAAGGAGATTTTTAAATGCTGCCCTGTTGGGCTGAAGGAGCATGTAGGCCTGGGCATTAGACTCCTTTCTTCTCCACTTTCGTACACAGGGACAGGGGGAAGAAGGTGGTGGTTTAGACTTCATGTCCGTAAGAGCTATCCATTTTTAGTGACTCACCCACAGCTTAAGATGAAGGGTGAATGAAGATGCCAAGAAACTAAATGCCCAGGTAAACACAAGTGAAGAGTTTGGGTTGAATATTTTTTGCTTGAGCTGCTTAATGCCCCAGCCTTACACATGTGCTTTTGATCCAATCCTTTTGTTATTGTAATTGCTGAAGCTAAGCTGCAGAACACCACGGAACAAGGAGCTCAGCTACCTCACAGGATTCCCACAAACACAATCTGAGAGTAGTATTTTCTTGAGCACACTACGGTAACACTATTTGCTTTCTGTTTGAGTAGCTGGGTAAAGGGATTTGCTGTAATAGACTCTGTGAAACAATAAATTAAACCAAGTGTCTCCACATTTGGTTCACTTCAGCTGGTGGATTATCACCCAAATGTACGGGATGCCTTACAGGCAGCGATGCGTTCCTTGGCAGGGGTTCTGGGTCAGCTAAGTGAGCGCCCTTTCTGTGAATAACAAAGGGGCATCTGTACAGGCCTCCAGCCCAGACCCATCCTTCTCAGCATCCTTTAACACAAGGATATCTGTCCATCCTACAGGGACAACAAACGTAGCAAGTTTCTGCCTTCTTCTGCTCATTAAGATAGAAGCGTTCATGGTATGGGAGGTTGTGGCCAAAAAATCCCCAAACTTATCAAAGAGTTTAGACCACAGGAAAACAAGTGTTTATTTTGCTCTGGGAATCAGTGAGAAATGGCCAATTTATTTCAAGAGTTTTCTGTAGATAAGGAAGATGCTCAATGGACGTTAGACACACCGAGAAACACAAACACTGACACACAGACATATTACAAAGAAAGTCTTTTAGTACTTTAGCGATGAGATATGTTTCCTCTTCCACCTGCTAAATGCCATTTACCCAAGTCTATCACTTTGGTGACAAATCAGTAGTCATACATATAAGGGGATTATAAAATCTCTGACACCTTATCTTCATAGAAGCATTGATGTTTCTAAATTACTCCAAGAAAATGATTTGTTCTCCTCTTCACTTCAGACAGATTTTATTAGAAATAAGATTTTCCTGATACTAATAATACTTTCCTTCGAGTGAGGTTAAATCAAATAGAGCTGAGAAAAATCGCCTGCCATTTTCTTCATTTTTAAGTCCTTGTACAGGGAACCATTTCAATGGTTAATCTTTGGGTAATGCCATTGACAACTCAATAAAGCAGTTAAAAGACTTCCTTTGATAACTAGAAAAAAAAATGGAATCACCAGGATTTAAGAGAAATCCCCTGATGTCTCCATTACTACAGACACACAATGCATTTCCAGACTAGGCAAAAACATGCACATAACTTTTTATTTCATGCGGCCTTTGGCTTACGCTTGGTCAACAAGCGCGTCAAAGTACTTTCCTCCAAGGTGTTTCCCATCCCTCCTTTCCCGAGTTTCTCCCCAGGCCTCCAGACCAATGGGCACACTGAACAGGATGAATGATGATGGAGAAATGAAAGTTTTCGGTATATCCTTACTCTGACATTCTCCAAAATTCGTGGAATTGATTTCTCTCTCTCTTTCACCCTTGCTCAATCCCGACGCAGGCGAAGGTGACATAGCTGCAATATTAATTTCACAGTTTTGCAAAGCTTAATGTATGTGTTTTCTCTTTTAGTTCATTTTAAATCAGTTTTGATTGATCAGGGGTGTGTAGTTTAGCTTTCACAATGAAGGTCCTGGCTGCTATGGACTGTAAATGACAACAGTTTCATCTATGTTTTCTTCTTTCTTTTTTCCACGGTCAAAAAACTAGTATTTACAATTGTACTACTCAGTTTCCTAAAACCCCCATTACCATCTTAAATGCCTCATATTTAATTATAACCGAAAGCACACATTCTCAAATGACCTTTTTCAGTCACATCATGCACCATAGAAAGTTTTCCTGAATCCTTATTGCATTTTGGAAAAAAAAAAAAATTATGTCTGTGCCATTGTTGCACTCCAGCATTTATTTAAAAGACTATAAAGTTCCTGAGTAGAATTCATTCTTGTACTAACAAATGTTCAGGTTAATTCCAGGCAGTTCCAACCAGAACAGTCTTTATATTTAGAGATGCAGATCATCAGGTCTATCGGAGGTTTGAACAAACACACAAAAAGGAGCTGTTGTAATGGATATAAAAATACAAAAGTACACACAAGCTCCTTACGCTCACTATGATAAACAGGCTCACTCATCAACTCCACCTTGGAAGCAAGTTATCTTCAAAGCATGCAGGCTGAAGATGACAGTGAATGTGGCAACTCTGAGCATTTTTCTATCCTGACTATACTATAAATAGTCCAAATTTCAACTGAAAACTTTAGAATTTCTTTTGTAGTAAACACTACTGCATACATGTCACTTTTCCCAAACATTTACTAATAAGATTGCACCAATGTCATTTTTAAAGATATGGAAACAAATAGAATATGAGCTAGAGAAAAGATAAAACAGACGACACGGCTTTTAGTGGACCTCAATGTGTGTCTTTGTTTGCTAATTAAACAGTGAAATCCTTCATAGCGTTTCACGGACACATCTGTAACTCGGAGTGATTCATTTTGACCCTGTTTTGTTGAAGATGGTCATATCGAGATTATGGTATTTTGCAAAATACTTAGAGCACATGAAGGAATGTGATCAGAGATTTATTAATATCCATGTTGCCCTTTTCAATAACATGAAATGCAAGAACAAACTATCTGCAACAAAAAGGGGATGAAAAGGCTAAGGTGCTATTGCTGCCTTCAGTATTCCCGCTTGTACTCTTCCTATTTCACTTTGAAGGAAGGGGACACAGAATGGCATCTATCAAGGCCACACACTGTATTTTTTTTCTCCGAAGACAAGATACAGAACAATCTAGAGGGATGGCAGAAACTGTGATAAAACAAAACCTTGATCCAAAGATGAGATAGATGCAAGTTCTTTTGTGGGTGCTGTGAAAAGAAGAAAATCTGTGACAGATATTGAATAATTACTGTTGGAAGGAAATCCTCCCATCATGATCCTCTTTTAGCAGCAAGGAAGAGATCCCTATGAATTTAACATCAACTAGATTGCTACCACCACTCAATTACGGAGTTTCCAATCATCACAAAGACATTGATTCTCATTTCTGCTGCTATATCCCACTCCTTAAATGCGAAAGAAGGTGAAGAAACAAAACTGGTAGCATTACAAATATTTTGGTTTGGCTGCCATTTGAACTACCTTCAATGTTTACAAACATATTCCATTTTTGGGGGTGCAAATTTTTTAAAAATTTGGAGAACAAATTTGGAGAAACATTTCCTTCCATTAGGGTCAAAATGGCATTTGAGCCTGAGACTTCTCTTGAACAGTCAGTTAGAATTGTCGATTCACGATGTCTCTGCTGGCACTTGAGAACACGATTTATTTTAGTACAAAGTGATTCATACGCAGAAAACTCAATCATAAATGTGTGCCGTATTGAGAAAAGCAGGAGCGGGGTCAATAAAGCAATAGCTCAAGATCCATTGAAGTTGGGCCATTGATCGGAGGAGCCGCACACTTAACAGCGAAGGGAAAGCACCACTCTTCCCCTCTGGAAAACATCTGTCCAATGGCTTTCTTCAGTGAAACTTGTACAACTCGTGAGGAGACCCAGTGAGGACAGACCCGGGTTTATACTTAGCATCTACTGTATAGGAGGGATATTTCAAATGCCAGCTTCATCTGCTTTGGCCTGGCTTCCAGGGCATTTTAGGGGTGGTGGGTGGTGTTTCTAGTCCAAGGACTGTAAAAATCCCAGCTCAAATTAGCTGGCTTTTGTCAGCATCGTGAACCCTTAACCCAAACCGCCTCTTTAGCTGCACATGCTGTTATAGCAAGGCGGCAGTACAACAGTTCTCCCATGAGGAGGAAAAGGATGGCAGGACCCTGAGCAGCATCAAACATCTGATCTTCAGCAGGACCTCGGGCCAACTTTCCTTCCCACACAGGGATGCTGGCCTCACTCAAGCCTCAGTCAGCAGAGGAGATGCAGCACAGGGGAGGCCATGCGGCACCTCACGTTCTCTGCACCGTGACTCTCTGAACCCCAGGCATACATCCAAGCAGAACCCGTGCCCGGGTGAGGCAGGGACCGAGAGGGTGGGCACAATGACTCTCCTCTGTTTTTCTCTCCTCTGGCTCCTTCATGAACCCAGGGTCCTCCCTCCAGACTTGTTCTCTCCTGTCCCATGGCAACCACAGGAAACCAGGGGTGCTCACCCTGCGGTTCTTTTACCTAGGCCAACCAAACTCATCGAAAGTCAGCAACAGCCAAAAACAAAAACTAAACAAACAAAAAGACCTACACACACAGCAAAAAAGAACCCAAAAAACAAAAAAACACCCAATTTGTATCTGAAACTAAAGCATTTTAGGAGTCCATTTGCTAAGATCCAATAAGGATGATTCATGATGAAGAGTCTTTAGAAATTACTTGAGAATAAGTAGCACGACATTAAAGAAGAGGACATTAAGTTTCTCAGAGCCAAGAAGTTACAAGGTACACCATGACTAGCTCATATTTATAGAACGGTAAAACCAAAGGAACAGATTGAACTGCTGTATAAATAATTCAAGCACCAACTACTCACTGTTATTTCTCTTTTTTTCTTCTTGAGGGGAATGTTGAGAAAGACTGATAATGGTTACCAAGAAAATCACCACTATTTTTCAAAACCAAGAAAGAGACTGCTAAGAAAGCATTTCATTTCTTCTCATTACCCCTGCCACATGAACCAATCATGTTTAGGTTCTCCTGTGTTTCGGGGCCACGTCCCAAGACCTGAGCTCCGCGTGTGCCCCCATCTGCGCTTAGGGGAGAATTAATGACACAGCAGCTCTTATCTGCCCCTTCTTGTAACTTAAAGGGAAATCAAATCCATTTTTGATGCAGATCACTTCTGTGGTGACCATTCATTTCTGCATCCCCCCTTCCCATGCACACACACACGCCCACACGCGCACACACACACACACACACACAAACTGCAGACAGAAGACAGAACGGAGTTTCCAAGAATTTCTAGTCCACTCTATGTGTTCTGGGAAGCTCCAGCCTTTCACCCCACCTGACCTCTACCCAGGATACACCCAGAAATTCTTCCATTTTCTTTAAGTCTCAAGAGAAAGCGGGAGCCTCCCCCAGGAGGGGCCATGGGCAGGCAGGAATCAGGGTATTACTCACGTCGGTTTTCATACATGCTCCTGGACTGGGCCCAGATTTTAAAAGGATCTGGTTTTCTCTGCCCAGAGCTGTCAGTCTGGTCTGGAGCTGAGGCTTCCGCAGGTGGGTACTCGGGGAGCACCTGAGTGCTGTGGCTTGGGGACGCCGTGTGCAGGCTTCGATGGCTCGCAACACTGTGCTGCGAACTACTCTGGCTGTCTTTCCTTTCCAGTGGTTGCTGAGAGCAAGCGAGAGGGGTGAGAGGAGATTATTACTGGGTTCCACCAGTGGGTGTTTTCCACCAGCTCGTCTTTGTTCAGCACTTCTGCATACACAGACATCAATACATCAACAACATTTTGGCTTCCACCTTTCTTCAGCAAAGGCTGAATGCAGATAAATCCCCAGGTGATTGGCAGACAGACAGAGGGGCGGGCTAGAGAGAAACACATAATCACAAACCATACAGTTCTCTGGGCTGTAGCGGAAAACAAATCCAATTTTCAACGCAGGTTCCCGGCTAAGATACTGGGCTCATTTCTTGCAAGATTTATTAGTTTTAATATCCCCATTTTTGAACCAAAATATGTGACACAAAACACCACGAGTGGTTTAACTTAAAGGCTATAATATCCAGAAAAATAAGATCATGTCTGAGGATTTTCTTGGGGAGTCCAGGTCTTGCACCTTTTAATAATAATAATAATACTCCTTTCTATGCATTTGCCACTAGCCTTTCTTGACTACAAGAAACAGAGGTCAGAACTTGAAAAAAAATCATGCCTAGCATTAAGCAGTGCACTAGTGCTTACAGGTAAAAGAGGTCTTCAAAAATTCATGGAAAATGTATATGATTAAAAAAAAAAACTATGCACTGGTTTCATTTTTTGTTCCAAAATAATTCTCTTTTCATTCCTTTCTTCCCACAAATGCTTCTGAAGTACTCTTGCATAAAAGTAACAATCCAACCAAGAGTTTCTTAATTCCTACTTTTGCTGGCATGATGTGTCACCTCTTGAACTGCTGACACTAGCCTTGGTTGAAAACCAAGATCCAACTTTATACTTGGGTTGATCTCTGGGGGTCAGTCTTCTTAGATCAGTCTTCTTAGTGTGCAACTTGCCCAAAGTCCAAATGTATTCAAAAGGGAAGAATTCCACTTAAATTTCAGTAGAATAAGCAAGTTCCTGTTCATTAAAACTGCTTAGCAAAGACCCTTCCCATTTTACAAAATGCTCTGTCTGAAGGGTGACTGAACAGAGAGCAAAATCTAATGGGAAGAAAAACATTAGGTAGGAAAGAAAATAATTTTAGTTCTAATTTTGTCCAATAAAAGACTACGACAATATCTGGTGTTTAGTTTCCCAAATTCAAAATAAAAATCCTGGAATAGTGTCTCCTACAATGCACACCTGCTTAAGAACATCAAAAACAGAGAGGACAGACAGGAGAGGTATTTATCTGCATCCTTTCTTGTATGTCCTATATAGCTTACGTATTAAAAAGTATCTTGTAGGATCTTTGACTTCAAGCACTCCGGCTCCCTCAAGTTCTTGACAGTGTCCAAACTTTCTACCTGGTATTACAATGACTCTTATCACTGCTGCCTCCCCAAGTACCCTCCATTATTCCTTCCCCAGGAATTATGCTAGAAGTTTCCAAAGTCATTAAATTCTCAGGTCCCTGCCAGTCCTTTCTTTGAAACAAGTATTTAAACAAAGCCCAAGGAGGACAAAGACTTCATTTGTGCTTGATTACTACAGAACTGAATACAGGCTTTGGCAAGAATTTACAGTTGAGAAAAACTGGGCATATATTTAAGTGAAAGTAAGACAGACCATTTAAAAGTATACATGGTTTGCCTGATGGAGAAAATTGAGGACCATATTCTAAGGTGGCAGAGGGATCTTAGTAAAACTGTTTCATTCACTCTGATTCAAAGAACAAACTTTGGTGAAGAGGCCAGCAAAGCAGGTTGACATTGGCTGGGAGAGGGAGGGGTCATCAGAACTCATCACTACTGCTGTCTTTGGAGGCGAAATGCCCAGCTCAGCCCCGGATGGATTAGCATTCCGGACACTTGAAATAGAACTTGGCTCTGCCAACTTCCAACAGCGTCTTCTGCAACAGTGAATTCAGCTCTCAGGGTTAGGGATCTGACTCCTGTCCCAGGAAGGGTACTGCTACCTGCCCTCTAGCTACCTGGGAGACACAATGAAGATATTCAGTGTCAGAAAAATGTTAATGATGAAGACCATACCCATTCTCTTTGCATTTCCCATTGTTTTTCTCTTCAACGGAGTCTTTACAAGGGTTTTCCTCATTTATGATGTGAACCCCACGCTATAATGCACACAGCAAAGTGAGATTATGAGTGCATTTCCCCTATAATCCTCAGAGTTTCCTGTATTGCCTATTTTTTTAAAAAAATAATACACACAGAATATTTTTATAATCAAGACCCAAATTAAAGTTACTTTCACAATGAATGAATCTCAATAGATAGAACGAAGATGGCTGCTTTATGTTTTTGGTCCCCTCTGTATGTGGTGGTGGTGGTGGTGGTGGGGAGGTGGAGATTTTAAATTAACAGCAAGTAACCCAGTAAAGATCTCTGCATCTACCTTAGAGCTATAGGTCTCCCGTACATGCCCATCTACTCTTGGTTCTTCAAGTAAGTAGCAGATCCAAGATTCTAGGATGGATTCAGCCATACACAAAATTCACTTCATAGTTAAAAATGGGTTCCTGGACTGCAAACTCTAGTCCCTGACTTCACAAAAGCTTGAGTACTGCAGGGCCACCCGAGAGCAGCGTTCACTCTGCTTCTTTGTGAGGTTATTTGGCAGTCCCTGTGCTACTGCCTCCTTGGGTCATTGTCCTTGAAATCTAACTTGAACTTCTTCCAATGGATTTCTCTTCCAGAACTGGAGAAAAACACCTCACTGGCAGCAGCCCTGCTCTATTGAGAGTCTAATAAAACTTCCAGACTTTCTCTTATAGAAATGTCTGTGTGCTTCCACACATATACCCAGATCTCCATGCATACAGATTTAGCAAGTCACATCAGGGGTTTGCAAGACTCCTGGATGTCTGTCCTGGTAGGACAAATCTCTCTCTGACATGGAGAGTCCAGATCTCATCAGTTTAACTGGAGAGACGGCTCTGCCACAAACTGTGTGTGCAAATGAAGTCTTCCGCAAATGTATGGGTCATTTTCCAAATTATAACACCGTTTCTCACCTCCGCAGTAAATGACTCATTTAGGCCCAATACAACACAAAATGACAGATACGTTCTGGGATGAAATAGCTCACTGCCTCTCAGTCAAACTGTACCTTGGAGTCCTTTTTAAATGCCACCTCAACTCTGTCCCTCCATTTGGAAGATAAATATAAAAGAGCACCCTGACAATGTGCTCCAAAAACTGCACCACCACGGAACTGTCACTAACCGGTATTATATAAATGGCACACTCATGGGCTAAATAAACAACAATCCCGAAGCATCTTGGCTTTTCCTGTGGATAAAACTGAGCCCTCACTCCATGTTCCTTCTCAAACTCAATTATGAAAACTCCTTAATTTGAAGATGCATTCTGCATTACACATCTTGTGGGCACTCTGGGTTTTCGGAAGCTATACTGTACGTGTGTGTAGAAGTTTCCATTTTCTTTCAGCATGCTATTTAGTTTTGATGTTGTCCTTTATTTGGCCAGAGCCCAGAATCTTGGAGCAGAAAAGCCATGTTTCTAGGTCTCTCAGTCTGCAGTCCACTTGCATGCCTTTTTAGCAGCCTGAATGACCTCGCAGAAGACTTGAGGCATGAGAATAAGCTCCCTGTTTTAGCACAGGACCAGGTTCACAACTAATGTGATTATCTTCTACCTTAGTTTGCTAGGTAAAAACACCAGCTCCAAGACAAGAAACTACACTAGAAGACACACTCTCAATTCTGTTAACAGAACCCTATGCATACTAAGAACACGGAAGGACAGAAGCATCTAGCACAGCAATGCCAGAAATTGGCCCTCCTGTAACACACTTACTTACACATCCAGTAAATACAATCTGATCGTTTACTGGATGTCTGAAACGGAGGGATACAATGGATACGTAAGACAGAGAAACAATGAGCTCTTGAGTCTTTATCTAACTGTGTGCATATGTATGTCTGTAGAAGTATCCATAATACTTTGAGAACAACATATTCCAGTGTCCTTTAGAGAAGTAGTAACGAGAAATCTTTGGGTATACATGTTTGGTGTACTGCTTAAGCCACCACATGGGAAGTGATATTCCATATCGTAGCATGGCTGGTTCATGTCCTGGCTCTCTTCTGGTCCAGCCTGGGAAGCAGCAGGTGATGGCTCAAGAATTCAGATGCCTGCCACCTATGTGTGACACCTGAATGGAGTTCTGGGCCCCTAACTTTGGCTTGGTCCAACTCTGGTTGTTGCAGGAATTTTGGGCACAAACCAGCGGATGGAAGTTCTCCCTCTTTGCCTGTTTCTCTACCTTTGAAGTAAAGTAGAAGTAAATACATGCATACAGCCTTAGGAAGAACATTCCATTAATGGCCATAGCTAAGTCCCCAGGACAAAAATGAACTGGGGCTGTTTGAGGAACTGAAAGGCTATTGTGGCATAACAAGGAGATGTAGCAGCCTGAGATGAACTTGGAGGCCAAATAATGCAAAAGACTTGGGGGCTACTATAAAGAGTCTCTGTTTCATTCTTAGCTCAAGAAGGGGAATTCATTCATGAATTCAAAGTATGGATGTGCCAACAGCCAGCATATTTCCAGAAAGTTGGGTCTGGCTACTGGTAGGACATGGATTGACAGGGAGAGGAGTGAAATCGGAGAGCCCAGTCAGGAGGCGATTCCTTCCCTCCATGCAAGGCACCTGGGGTGGCTTATACTGGGGAAGCAGCAGTGATGGAGAGGAACAAATGAGATCAAAGGATATACTGGTGCCAGGTTTAATAGGCAGTGTTGAATTTCTGAATGGAAGAGAGGAGAAGCAAGTCTCCAGTCTGAGTAACAGTTGGACAGGGCTGCCGTATTTTAAGATGGGTATTGCCAATGCTAACAGCTGACACTATGCCTCACTATGCTAATATTCATGGAGCAAGACTTTTTTTTTTTTTAATTTATTTGACAGATAGAGTTAGACAGTGAGAGAGAGAGACAGAGAGAAAGGTCTTCCTTCCATTGGTTCACTCCTCAAATGGCCACT